TAAAAAGTTTTTAAAGATACAAGATACTGTATAATCTGGTGCATGATTGCTTTGTTCAGTAGCAACACATGGGATATACCAGGAACGTGGTACAAAGTACGAAGTGCATGGTTTACTGGAGAGTTAAATGTCTGTTTACAAATACGAGGATCTGATTGGAAGATTGAATCTTGTGACTTTAGATTTCTATATTTGTTAATATGTACGTATACGTATGTTGATGTGAGATTTGAGTATATTTCTATAATATTGTCTGTGATGACCGATCATTGATTAAACTCGAAAAAATATATGATACACCAATATAACCTCTGTTAGTATTGTTCAGAATTCTTTTTATGTCTGTAAGGGAGTGTGCGCTTTCATTGTTTGATTGGAAAAAGATTGCTAGTGATCTACATTTGAAAGAGGCGCATAGAATTAACTTCAAAAGATGCCCAAAGAAGCTAGTAGGATTATCTATTCTAAACTTTGCCGTGCGTATTGTGTTTTTAATTGGTTCTAACTTTCAAGCCCTGGAGTCCGGTGTAGGCCAACCTCGAGCTTTCAGGGTTTAACTTAGAACGCACCAAAAGATGTCGATCACCTGATAAAAAAAAATGGTGTGACTGAAATTTTGGAGAAGTAAGTACAAAAAAAGTGCCTGAAAAAAAAAACTGCGGCCGGACCATTTCGAAGCTAGTGGGATGATCTATTCTGAACTCTACCAAACGTATTGTATCGATCGTAAAGCCATTCGAGAAATCAATTCTTGTAAAGACACGAAGTCTGAGTTTTATTTGAAGCACGAAAAGGCAGTGCTTTTATACTTGTTATAATCTTACGGAGAAGATATAATATCAAAGAACTACAATTATAATTCTCGATGTTTAACAGTTGATTTCACCACGATGATTTTCCGATTTGGGTATAATAAGAATAATGGAGTTTATATGAAAATAAATGAAATCAATCATTAAATCGACCACACTAATTACTTCTATAACATTGTGTTGTACTGTAAAGAACAAATTACAATGTACTTTTGTCCGGAATGGACTGACCCGCAAGATTTTTCAAGATCAACCCAGGCTACTTCCAAGAATATAAATCACCTGATAATAAATTAGGTGACTGGCATTATAAAAAGATGGCCTGGTTAATTCCCGAAAAGCCCATGGACCAGCCTGTTTCAGATCATAGTGAGATTATTATGTTCATAAAAATAATTTTAAAAATTTAAAATATAAATGGAACTTGTTTAAGATTAATAAACTTAAACAAAAAAGGCTGCGGTGATGGTGATTATTACTCTATATTGGAATCACATGATTCTTTAGATATACAATAAAAGTTAGGCTAAGTTAATATAAAACAATTCAGATAATTTTCTATATAAAGATGTGAATTTGGATCATGAAAATTTACAACATTTCAAGATCTAGAAAAATGGTTTCTTACGCTTTATTACTTGTTGTCGTAATCTCTGTAAAAAACAGTCCTTCATGTTCTCAAGGACTTGCTAAATACAAACTTACTAGGGAATTGTCCCAAACAATTAAATTTAAATATTTTTTTCCTACAAACCAACCGTATCAGACATTTGCAAATGGGGATATTATATTTATCTCGGGTAAATATATTGTTGAAAATTCTGAACCATGCTTTACTATAGCATATGTGAGTATTGTTGACAATAAAAACCCCAACCGTGAATTTGATATGAGTGATGTTCCTATAACCATCCCAATTGCATATACTCTGTGATTGTTAATCGTGAGCCAAAGCAAGTTGAAGAATTTATTTACTTTGGTGTGAAACTGTTGAATATAATTCGCCTAATATTAAAATGGATATGACAATTATTTATCCTCACAAATCACCTAGGTTTAAATATCTAGGTGATTTAGGCTCTAATATTAAACTAAGATCAAGCTATGTTATATCGGGGCTTTTTAAATTTTCAAAATCTGGCAAAATGATGATTGAAGCTACTGATATTGATTATTTAAAAACTTCAACCATCAGTATTAACCAATCCGAGAGCTTATCGTCAATAACAGCAAATGGTTCATCGATAATTGATATTATTGATGATGACATCGAATCTATTGCCATTCAGAAATTACAAAAACCACCTGGATCATATGAAACATCAAAAAATCCTCTTAATACAGATATTAAAATTGATCAATATTGTGACAGAAAAAAAAATCATACTACAATTGACAATTATCAGAGTGATGAAATACAATCTGATAACGAGAACAATGATGAAAAACCTATAAATTCAGTTGATGACGAAACCTTTCAAAAAACTGAAGAATCAGAAGAAGAGGTCCAACCTAAAAAAAGAAAAACAGATACTAAAAGAAAAGGAAAAAGAGTTAAAAAATAATTAAATGTAAATTAGATTGTATCGCTAATAATATTACATCATGACTAGGTTCAGATTTAAAATCTGATATTATAGCCTCACCGCACTATAGAAAGAAAAAACATTATTAACAAATATTCCAAAAAAATAATAAATAGAACTGGAAGTATAATAAGAAAATACTTATCTAAAAACCTATTCTTGCATACATCGTGATTAAGAAAAGTTAAAATATTTGGCTTTGTTAACTACCCATTTGTTAGTTACTTGTATAATGTGTTGCGTAATAATATAGCGTAACTCATTTTAAATATTTTTTCAATTGGTTCTCTAATAAGTTCTTCTCTTTATTCTAAGATTCGTGTGCTGACATTATTAATAATAAGAATCATATATGCTAAAATTAAACTAATTAAATTATTGCTTGTGTCATTTCTGTGCGAAAATTTATTATTCTGCACGTAATATAAATTAGATCCTGAAATGAATCAGAGCTCATCAGGGCTAAAAGAAAAACTGCAAAATTAGGACTATAGAAATAGAAAAAAAAAATTAAAGCGTAAAAATAATATGAAAAAAAGCACTTAATAAACTGCTTGAAAATCGTTAATATAGCAGCAATTTAAGATTGTAAGGAATGCTATGTAATGCAGGATAAGAATAATGTGGCGTAGAGATAATAAGAACGTTTATGAGTAACAATTAATTGTAATAATGGAATAAGGATAACTAGGGTATAAAGAAAATAGTATTAAGGTTTTATTAATAAAAATTTAACATAATAAGATTCACGAAACTGTATTTAATCAAATAAGAATTCGATACTTATTTCTTAACTCATTAATGACATGAAGTATGAGAGAACTTTATTAATGTGAGAAAGGTCTATAAATATATTTTAATTTACTATGAACTACTGAGCTACGTTCTCTCACAGCTTCTTGTACCTACAACGCTACGAAACAGCCTTGTGCGTGGTCCACAACAACAATGTTTGAGAAAGCCTCCCATTACCCTACATAATTCCTGCGCGTCAAGATTCCTATAATTCTTAACAAACAATGGTACGCAATGAAAGTTTCACGCTTAAACTTTCTTTGTGTAAGTATTATACTCTTAGATACTTTGCATATACTTTTAAATACACTTTGTAAAACATTTATTAATAGCTTATGCGTAGTTTATCAATGTAAAGCCTATTTTAATTAGACTTTAAGTAGTATGTAGTCTATTTGTAGTCTAATAGTACCTATATATGTCTGTAGAATTTATAGAACGCTAATTAGTTAGAAAGTTAATTCTTTTGATTTTAGTTTAGGGGATAGTTTTGATTATTAGTGGGTTCTTTCTTTGTGTGGTTGATAATTTGCGTCGAAGAGATAGTAAGTTTGAAGCTTGCTAGATAGAAGAATAAATAAAAGTATCTGTGTTGTCAGTGTCTGGGACACTATAAAAAAATATCAGTTATCACATTTTGGTGCCTTTGTGTGTGAATACAATATTAGGTTTATCTTTTGTTAATGATTACAACCCTTTGCTAAATTGGCCGAACGATATAAGACTCTCCCTTGGTCATAACAACAAACAACTAAAAGCCAACAATAACTAGTTTATACAACAACACTAGCCAACAAAAACTAGCTTCATTACATCATATAATTAAATCTCTTGATGTCTGTCATATGATATTTAAATAGGAAAATAAACAAGCAATAAGAAAATAAATAAAGAAAATAAACAAAATTTAAAGTCTATCTAAGCGCTTCTCAGATTATGTGTTATGAGAAAGCGTGATAATATCATAAAAAATAACTCGCTTGATCTGCACAAAAAAAAGAACTGTATTGATACATCGAGTGATAATCAGATAATTAAAATGGTGAAATACGATCTACAGATTTAACCAGATTATGGAGCCTATGTAATCACGTGAATGTTTAGCAATCGTAGCTACGACTAGCAAGAATTTTGACAATATAATAGTATTTGTTTTAAATCTTTTAATTGGGAAAAGCACTTACATTTACAATCAGACAAAAATCGGCTGATTATATCGGTGAAACACGATTATGATTACCTATCAGTAAAGTGTCGTAAGTTACGTTTTATCATATTTATTAACTTATAAATAATTCTCTTATGATCTCTATATCTATTTTTAACACATAAT